CCCAAAAAGAAATTTGGCCCCCCCCCCCCCCCCCGGGAAACTTTCTGTCTTATGCACACTCTGTGTGTGGTTTTCATAAGCATGGAAATAACGTAATGGCTGTGCTCCCTCTTTTTTTGCAGCAGTATTTGTGTAGAAGTTGGTACACAACTGTTGCAGAGTGGTCACCACTTCTGTGTGGTTATATTCTCTGTTACACTGGCAATATCTGTTGAGAAAATGTGGGGGAAGTGGATAGTGTGTCTACTTTGGATTAGAACTGTATCTCCCTGACTATAGGCTAGAGGGCGGGTGAGGGTTTGCAGGCAATATAAAATTCTTTGTTGAAGATATTCAGGTTAATCCACTTTTTATATTTTTATACGGTAATTTACTAGTGTAAATTGTGGGACCAATACCATTCGAGGAAGTTCTACCCCATCTTGCACTGACACTTTGTTGTTGTACTGTATTATTTTATTGTTTTAGACTGTTTTATCTGTTTTAATTCTGGCACTTGTGCCTTGTTGTTAGCCGCCCTGAGCCTTCGGGGAGGGCAGGATATAAATAAATAAATAAATATATAAATAAATAAAGCGAGTTACACTGATGTAATAGTGCATTTGTTGGTGGAAAAGGAGAGGGTGATTGTTGTCCATTTCCCCTTTCCATTGCAGACTTCACTTGCCCTCCCCTCACTGTACATGGGGGTACTTGACCCCTAGGAGCAGGACTGCAGAGCAGAATCTGGGCTGCAAAACGAATGGGGAAGCAAGATAGATAACTCTGCTCAGTCAGCTGCGCTCCACTGGCAGTAGGTTGGATCCATTTAGGGTCATTCTGATAAATAGATGTATTGACTACTGATGAAGACTTTTTTTGGTGAAAATGTTTGTCAAGTTTCAGTTTGAATTATTAATTTGTAACATTTTCTGGTCAGGGAGGTTTATATACCACACATTTCTCAGGCATTTTGATGAGATTGTATTTAAAGTGGACATTCCCTAAACAGTGTTCCCTCTAAGTTGAGTTAGTGTGAAGTAGCTCACAGTGTTTTAGCCTCCAGCTCACAGATTTTTGTCTTAGCTCAGGAAGAATGGCTTCAGAGCAAACTAATTTATGCAGTAGCCAAATTGCTCGCTCACAACTTTAATGCCAGTAGCTCACAAAACAGAATTTTTGCTCACAGGACTCCACAGCTTAGATGAAGCATTGTCCCTAACCCTTTTTTAAAATCTTTTCTCTCAACCTTTTGGTTACTGAGTCTTGTTTTCACTTGACTTTCCCCCCTTCTTTTTTGGCTGTAGTCAGTAGTATGGATCTAGCCATGTATTTTGATCCTAGTAATTGGGGGTTGGGAGATTTATTTATCTAATCATTTGTGCCCCACCTTTCTCTCCAGTGGGGCTCCCAAAGCAGTTTACATTGTTCTCCTCTCCTCCATTTTATCCTCACGAAGACCCTGTAAGTTAGTTTAGGCTGAGAGAGTGTGATCAGCCCAAGGTCACCTAGCAAGCTTCAAATGCACAAGTGGGGATTTGAACCTGGGTCTTCCAGGTACTAGTCTAACACTCTTAATCACAACACACTGACTATGACACTGGATTGACTTTATGTTTAATAAACCTAGATAAATTATGCAAAGAATTCTTTGGCAAAAGCTTTGTTCAGGTTAGGAGCAGGCAGGGATATAGCCATCTGAGAAACCCTGAAATTGCCAGCTACAGAGTGCTAGAGGTGTTTGTTTATATTATATACATAGACTTTAACCTTGGGTAGTTGGTTTTCTGTTTTGTGTTTTGAAAACTCTTAAGGATGGAAGCAACTATGTTTTATAGGCATTTCTATTTCAACAACTTGGATTTTTCTTTTTTTAACAGATACTACTTTTCCACAATGTTTGGTGGATATGACGATATAGAAGCATTTGAAGATGATATTTACTGTGAAGAGTCCTCCAGTGAAACAAGTGTTGATAGTGAGATAGAATTTCATCTTTACAGCCAGGTGCATTATGCCCAGGCCCTTGGAGATGGCAGTGGACAAGAAGAAACTGAAGAAGCTGGACCTGTAGAGAAGCAGATTCAGCGTTCAGTGAGTAAACAGAATCAGAAGGATAACTTAGTTGTAATTTCAGATAGTGATGTCATTCAGATTTCAGATAGTCCTGATGTCATCATTTTGTCTGATACTCCTGATGAAGATAGTGTTTACAGAAGTAAACTCCAGAAGCTAACAACCCCAGACTCTCCAACACTAGAAAGAACATACAGTCCCACTGATCCCATCTCAGTGAAGCCAGCTAAAGATTCTTCTCAGGCTGTCATGAATTCAAAGGGACTGTCTACAGACACTTCAAGAAAAGAGAAAAGAATTAATCAGAAGTCTGTCTCTTTTCACCGTGATGGTGTTCGCATGATCCACAAGATCCTAGTAATAGAGGACAGCTCCAGTAATGAGGATGAAGATGTGGCCAGCACAGTCTCTGAAAGTGATAATGTGGAGAGCTGGATGTTGTTGGGAGGTGCCAGAGATATCAAAGATGAAAACATCCTCTTAAACCTTGAGGGCTGTGGAAGTTCATCCACAGAAGGTTAGTATACTCTTGTGGCTGATAACACCAAATACAGTTAAAAACTATCAGGAAAACATGATGAACTAAATGGAAGTAGGGAGGGAAAGGGGGCAAATAAGGTTAAGTGTTGAAAATCAAGGTGTGACATGTGTAGTATAGTTTTTTTTTTAGAAGTATGATTTGTTGATTAATAGAACATTCAAGCAGAAGTCTTGAGCATGTTTACTAGTGATTAAATCCCATCAAATTGGTGGAACTAACTTTGAAATAAATAGATTCAGGTGGGTAGCCATGTCAGTCTGAAGCAGCAGAACAAAGTTTTGAGTCCAATGGCACCTTGAAGACCCAACAAAGTTTTATTCTGGAGATAAGCTTTCCTGTGCACACACACTTCTTCAGAGTGAAGAAGTGTGCATGCACATGAAAACTTATACCCAGAATAAAACTTTGCTGGTCTTCAGGGTGCCATTGGACTCAAACTTTGTATTGTAATAAATAAACATGCTTAAGATAGCAGTGCCGCTGGTATTCCAAGGTACATGTGTATTCACACTGCAGGTAGTGTGGATGTTCAGGAAAAAAGTTTAGAATTGCAAATAGTGGAGAAATTATATTAATAGTTCAGAACAAGAACCAGTAGGAGGAGAAAGAGCCAAGCAACATTTGGGATAGTAAGTTTAACTCACAGCTATAATACTATGAATGAGAGAAACAAATAAATTACACTATAGTGTGCAACTAAAAGAATTCTAATGGACAAATTAGACATTGACATGAATCCATCGCATTTTTGCCTCTTCTCCTTTTTGCTGCAGCCTGTGAAAAGCTACTCACATATCCCCTGAACATGTGTGAAATGGGTCTGCTGCTCATGTGATAGGGCTTGGATCCAGCCCAGTTGCTGAAGAATTCAGCAGGCAAGGGATCTAGTAACTGCAATAAATACCGTTGAGCCAAATGGCTCAGTTCTGTTATTGATTTTGTGTTGCATAAGCATCTGTTCATATGTGGTGCCAATAGGAGATGTGCTTTTGCTATTTTGTAGATTCTTGGAAAGGAAATTCAGGCAGTTGTAGTTACCTGGCACGTCCTAGGTAAATGCTGGCATTATCTACCTAAACAAATTTCAGTTTCACCAAGTACACGTAAAGTGCTTCGGATATACCCATTAAAAATGTTGGTGAAGTGGTTCTAAATCTTTTGGCATACATGCTAATAATCTGACAAGTTTCTTAAGCTAAACTTCTAGACAAGTATTGAGGAAATGTAGAAGAGAATGAGGTAGGTACAAAAGTTAAAATATGGTTAGTAACATCACAGAAGCAAGCTTTATTCCAGAGTATATTTTAACCACTACAAATGGAGAATACTGAAAAGTGTAATTGGTAGTTTATGCACTTGACAAGGTATCCTATTTTTTCCCATTTCGATATGTCCCTGTTATACATGTTTGTAGTTGAATTTTGTCAGTGTGCTCCTTGTCAGTCACTATGTGTAAACGTCGTCTTTTAAGATTTCGATTTAGTATTTTAAGGCCATCAACCACAGCACTTAAGATTCCAAAGGTTACAAGAAGGGGACTCTTGAGATTAGAAGGGAAGATAAATTTCCTTTCCCCTGTGGCCCCCATTTTCTGCATTGTTCTTTGGTTTACTTTCCTACTGGTGCTACTTCCCCCTCACTCTCTGCCCCTACCCTCAGTTTTCATGCCTGCCACTTCTTCTTTCTTCAGTTTACCATCTTTCAGTTTCATTATTGGGTAAATGACCAATGAAATCTCATGACAATACGCCATGAGATTTTGGCAGCATAACTGTTTATGACTGCCTAAACAGTTCAGAAATGGCTGCCGAGGTCTTTTGAGGTAGTTTTGTGTGATCTGGGAAACCTCAGTCTGTACCTGGCCCTATTGTGTGGATTTTTGAGATTATTATATCTTTTAAAATTTGACATACACATTTATTGAAAACAAAAATCAAAACCTCCATGAATAAATATGTATAAATAACGGGTGGGAGTATCATATGCTAATATAAAATATGTTAGCATATAAACAATAATTACGACCGTTATTAACTGCGTATTTCTGAGGGAGGAAGCCCAAAATAATTCCTCCAGATTGGGCCTCATAAGGAACAGAACCCAGGTGTTCACCAAGAATTTCATGACTAAATCCTATGGACTGTTGATAAAGCTTGCGACATGAAGGGTGCTATGGTCAGCCTTCTGGAATGATGTCACATCAGTGGATGTTGAACAGAGTAGACTAGCTTTAGCACTCGTGCCAGAGGAGCTATCAGAAGCTTTACCCCATTAACAGGGAACCCTGACCCAAAGATGGCACAGTAATAGTCACTGCTAACAAACTACCTTGGGATGAGATGGGAGAGAAGTTATGGCCTCTAGTGGTACCCTTTATGTGGCATTGTGTACACCTTTTTACTCTGCTTCTTTTTTGCATTTTTGTGTGTGTACCTATCAGTGTTCTCTCCAAGCTGAGTTAGTGTGAGCCAGCTCACGATTTTTTAGCCTCCGGCTCAAACTTTTTTGTCTTCATGCAGTAGCCAAATCGCTTGCTCACAACTTTAATGCCAGTAGCTCACAAAGCAGATTTTTGCTCACAAGACTCCACAGCATAGAGGGAGCATTGGTGCCTATGCCTGGAAGTGATGGTGACTTCTGGTGACTCCTACTGGGGCATGGAGGATGTTCAGAGAAGTGGCTTGATAGCCTGCCTCTGCCTCCCAGCCCTGATATTCTTTGGAGGTCTCCCATCCAAATACTTGCCAGGGTCAGCCCTCCTTAGCTTACAAGATCGGGCTTGCCTGGCCTACTCAGATCAGGGCGACTGCTTCTTTTGAGGGTAGGATAGCAACAGCGTTATCAGTCTCACAGTTTGTATAAAATCAAAATTAAGAGAAGCAAACTCACAGTTTACATAGTCTTCTACCATACACTAATTGGGGAAAATACAGTCACCATTTTCAGTTCTTCTTTCAGATTGTCTCTTCATAAAATAACATTTTAATTATCACAATGAAAGTTCAGAATTTTAGCTTTGAGCATATAATGTAATGGAAAATTGCGTGTGTGCAGGAAGCTGAAAATGGGTATTGTGGCAGAGGAGTAGTAGGAGCAAGTAAATCTTCATTGGTGGAAAGGAATTGTTCTTCCAGACTACTCTAATTTGTGATCACATCACATATAAATGTTTATTTCATTTGCTTTCTTTTTGCCTGTGGTCTTGTCATTATTACCTAGATTGTGAGCATCTTAGGCATTATGACAGATCTATAATTGAGTCAGAGGGATAGATCAAGATGTACATACAAATAAATATGATGAGCAGTAGCATAAAAAGAAGCTAGAGTTTTTTTAAAAAGCAGTTTTCTCCACTGGTGATGTAACTATTACAAATGCAACAAAATGTGTGATTTGAAATGCAGGAGTTTTTTAGTACAGGGCTTTGCTCTGGTTTCAGAACTTGATTTCAGGTTTGAACAAATGGGTGGCTTTGAAATATTTGATCCTTTTAGAAGTTATGAAAGGACAGCAGTTAAAACCTGCTTTCACATTATATTTATCTACTACTTCTCTTGTACTAAACACATTTTTGCTTGAAGTAGGTGTCATAGATTCCAGTGGAACATGTGAGAATAGCTCAGTCCTGGTAATACAAAAAGTATTATTGAGATTTGAAAAATGAATTGCTGAGCAGGTTTCTTGTTCTGAGATAGTCTGGATCCTTTGTTAAGAGTTATTGGTGTATTTTAGTTACACCTAATGTATAAGAAGAAAAATGTGTGAATGTGGAGTTTGGGTTGAATATTAAACACCTGCAGTATGGTTTCAGTTTGCAAGACTTGCACAAGGCTGTTGACAATAGGATTTTTGGAGGTCATTAGTTCATAGGGTCTTCATACGTTGGAAGTGACTTGATGGCACTTAACAGACACAGAGAGAGAGAGAATATGCTGCTCTTCCTTTCCAAATTTTAGTAGAGACTCTCCTCTATACGTCTTGTATATGGTTTTGTCCCCCACATTTTTGTTTTCTGTGATATAGATCATATCTTTTGTGTTACAAAGAGAAAAGGAATCAAGGGGAAGCACATAAATGTGGTTATTTATTTGAAGTGGGGTTATTTGATAATAAGTGATCTGCTGGAGAAACAAACACAATGTTGACGTGTTCCAACAATGCGTTCCCTCAACAGTGGCTCCTGCAGATCGTGGTACTATTGGTAACAGAATGGGGTGCAACATGGGGTCTGCATTAGGATGGTGAAATTGGTGACTTCCTCCAAGCCCTTGAAGGGTACTTCCTCTTGCAGAAGAAGGACTTTGGATAGACCCTGCTATTTTTAATACCTATTTAATAGCCACTTTTATTCTGTCAAGCAGGGGTTCATCTTGACGGTATTGTTCCTCATGCTTCGTATTTTGTGTTTGAAAATTCATGGGCTAAAGCCTAAGAAGAATTCTTTGGTTAATTGCTTGAACAAGTTATTAGTTCAGATAATTGAGCTTCACTGTAAAATCCTAATGTGCATGTTTCCTAATTCTCAAACCTTAAATTTGAAGACAGTCTGCTTAATTTAAGCATGACCTTTTTTAAAGTAGGGGAGGGTTGTACTCATATGCTGCCCTTCCCATATTGTTAGTATGCATAGTGCCTAGTTTGATTATAAATTCAAAACTAAAACACAAGTACTATGACTGATCGTGGCCTGCTGTGTCAATCACCTGGAAAAAGTGCTTTTGTATGAGAGATGTTAAAAGTTGCACAAGCGTCAGAAATTAGTACTTGAGGAAAAGATTAAAGTCAATTTGTGTATCATCCGGAACAATATCCACCCCACCCCACCCAAGCATTCAGCTTGTCACCATGGTTTAATGCTTTTGTGCCAACAACGTTCATGCATATTTGAGGGAGGGAATATCCCTATCTTTGGTCTCTCTTGGATGTTTACCCTTAGTGGGATGGAAGTACTTGTTCTAAAATACAGCTGGGATCCA